GGGGGGGGGGGTTTAGGCTGGGAAACATAACAAACTTCAAGGGGGAGCCAAGAGGGGGAGAGAAGCAAAATAAGGAAAAGAAATCAAAAAATGGATGTAAAGTTGTGGGAGATTACAGTGCTGTTGTAGTGACAAATATTAATCTTTTTTAATCCGTAACATGAAATTAGGGTACGCAATAGCATAGCAGCCTTCCTAAAGTTTCAGATCAATTTCTGGTCCTTTTAAGAACAGGTAGGTGATATCTCGAATAATAAAATGAGACCTCTTTGGGATAGCAGCTATAATTTCTTGCTTCTGATCACTTAACTTCTGGTTCAGTCATGCTGTTTATACCAAGAAACGTTTTTTGTGGATAAAAGTTGTTTAGGACATCTAAATAACCATTTTCTTGTAACTTTTTTTTTTTTTGCAGATGCCCTTCTCTTTTGGTGGTTGGTGACAATTCCCCAGCAGTTGATGCCGTGGTATGCATTGTAAAAGACTTAATGAACAACTTTTGGATTAATCAGCGTACAGGCTGGGAATTTAGATCAGCATTGGAGAAACATCCAGCAGTAATTGAGCATAAATGCTTGTCGTTCTTGGACCTGTCTTGTGTTCATGCCCTCTGTTTGGCCACATTCAATTAATGGCTACTGTTTTGCGGACAATGGCTATTGCAATGTTCAGACACAGAATGAGCTAGCTGAGAAAACCATGAACACAAACACTCACCTTTAGAAATGAATCTGTAGTCTATATTCTAGCTGTGTTTTAAATGGAGTTCTGCCTTGGGTCACTAGAAGCAGGAAACTTCATTTTGCCCTTCATAACTATCCTCAAATGGCTGGGTGACTTTAAACATTGCATCTTAATGAGTCTGTCCAGTCTTTTGGCATGTGGCCACTTGGCAGCTCACTTTCTGGGATTCTACCAGATGACCACAAATCACATGATAAACAGCACTTACTGCCAGTGTAACACAAGAAGCACAAAAACCTCTTTTTTTTTTCTGGTTAATGGGGTTGTTTATACATCTGGAAGAATAGACCAGCAGAGAGAAATTTGAATCAAACTATTTGTTTGAGCTACAAACAAAGGAGCCTTTAAGAAGTAAAATCCAAGGTGCACAACTTCTAGGGTATATTAAACTGTCAGACAAGAAGATGCTATATAATGATTAAGGCAAACAACTGTTCATACTTCTGATCCAGTAGTTTAGAATTATTGTGAACAGGAGTCATGCTGACACTGCTGTTCTTCTATGCAGGTTGAATGCAATGCTAAATTGGATCCAACGAAGACCACACTCCTGAAGGTAATAACCAATACATTCAGATTACAGATCCTATCTTTTTTATGGTTGCAGTGCTAGTGGGGTTAAACATAAATGAGCAGATGCCAAGCCAACATAGTGTAATATCAGGATATGGTGCAAATATAAATGCCTCTTATTCAAGAGAGTATATTCTTTGAGTTAGAGCAGTCAATACTATTCAATGAGACGGTCAGCAAATGGAGAAGAGAATAAGCCAACTGACAGCGTTGGAATATTCACAGAGAAAACTTTTTTTTATCTTTGTTTCAAACCTGGGGTAGGGGAAGCTGGGCTATGGGGCCAATTTCACCTTCTCTGCTTTTTAGGAGTACAGGCCATATTTACCAATTGTATCTACACACGGTACTTTGATACACAGAACTTTTCACCTATGGGTCATCAGGCATGCATATAGGGTAAAACCCTGGAAAGATGAAGGTACACAGCCAGTATGCTTTTCTGAACATTTAGAAACTTGGCTCTGAACAGATTTTTTTTTTTTTTTTTTTAAATTGGTACTTGTTAGGATTAGAGAGGTCAGCTAATGGGGGAAAAACAGCTTTTTTTTTTTTCACTAGTAACCTGCTGTTCCAGTGAACTTGTTGAGCTTCTTGTAATGCCAGGACATCAGCAGAAGTGTTACTGATGAAGAATTTTGTTTGGAATTCCTTAGGTAGACTTTTTTATTTTTGCTGAACACAGTCAAACCAAGTGAATGAACAGCCATACTGTACCAAGACCCAGGGTAGGTGATGCAGGTCACATGAGCAGCATCATGCTAAGAGTTCACTTGTGGAAAGAAACAGACTTAATCATCACTTCAGTAAGGAGGAGAAGGTTGTTTTTGTTTTGGTTTTTTTTTCCCCCTACCAGATACAGGTCAAAACCTGCATGGAATGACAGAGTGGCTTGTACAAACCCAAATCCTCCAAGGAGGAGATGCTGAACAGCTGGGCTAAGCCCTAATCGGATCCTGTTAATCTCTATTGAGGGAACGATTTCTGCAATAATGCCTTGTAGCTACAGTTTTGAAGCCTGAAATCAGCAGCTTTGTTCTGGTCCCCAGTTGCACTTCTATATCTCATGCAGTTCCTCAGTTCTTTGTAGTATTGCTGTGAGCAGATGAGGTATTCACATACCTCTTGTGCTTAAGAACAGGGCTAGTAGCATGGAACAATTTATTGTGCAGAGCATCCACACTTAAATGCCCAGCAGGAGTGGGTTTTCTGCTCTGTTCCCTGCACCTGTATCGCTTCCCATCTTCAACTGCAAGAGAGAGTAACAGAATGTCTTCAGATCAGGTTGGTTCTGTTTCTGCCTGCTGGTCCAAAGTATTAGCTTGATGGTTACAAACCAGTATAGAGCAGTGGCACCCAGCCTTCTAGCCCTGTGGGTGCCACTGCTCTATTGATCCGTGTGGTCTTGGTTTGTGAGCCTGATTCCCTCGTGCCAGCCAGATCTGGCCACAGTTCAGCGCAGTGTAGCACACAGTGCCACATTACCTGGCCCACAGAGCTCTCTGCACATTTGGAAATTTGGCAGCAGGGGAGTGGCAATTTAATGCTGCCACTGCTTCCCTACTGCCAAACTCGTGGAGCTGTGTGGAGCCCTGCAGGCTGGACGAGGTGGCTCTCAGCAGGGTGGATCTGATGGGTTGAGCACCACTGGTATGGAGGAATCTGATGAAACTTTGTTGCATTCCACTTCCCCAATTCAAACCTGTTTGATAAGGCTTACTATCCTAGAATGGCTAGAATCTTATTTGAAAAATGTCACCTCCTTCAGTTAAAACCAGATTCATTGCTAACCATTACCAATTTCATTAGGAATTGAATAGAAATGAAAAGCATCTTACAAGAGTAGAGTCTAGCTTCCAGCTAAAACTGAATCCTGATTGGAACCCTTTGCAACTGATGCAGCAGATACTTATTATTTGTAGAAACCCTTCAGTGAATTTTTGAGAGAATTCTTTTTTTTTCTTCCCTTCTGTTTCCACATCCTACAATAAAGCTATCTGACAAGACGGCAAATGATCTGCTTTTCATATGTTGTCCTACACCTGACCTGCTTTGTAATAAGTTACTTTCTTGTGGATATCCTTATTCCCAAAATTTTGATGTAGGGGCTTTCCAAGTTGTCAAGAGTCTTCTGGGAGGAGTGTTGGATCCTAAATCGCTGTGGAGCACATCTCCTTGATTTAAGTTTTTAAAATTCAGTGAGCCAGACTAATCTGACTGGGACTCTACTGGAACGCATGCAAATGCTTACTGTACCACATAATAGGATACAATTAAAGAAGCTGAGTGTTGTAAAGCAGTGGCAGCTCAAAACGTGTGTGTTTTGCCCACATTGAATGTTAATGTTATGTGGCTGGATTCCAAAACATGCTCCTGGAAAATTGCTCCATGTACAAGTTGGCATTTCCAGCCCTTGGCCAGCTGGAAAACGTCTTGCATAACCAACCTTCACTGAAGCTGAGGTTATGAATTACGTTAGCTAGCCTAGAAAGTAAGAATGGTGTTCTACAGTCGGATAATTTTAAGTAGGGCTGTGGGCTTCCTGTAGTTCATAACCTGACTGTGCTAGTTTGTAATGCTTATTAGACTGTTTTTGTTGGGTTGCCTTTGAAGGGTGGAGGGATGAGAATAATGAAATGCTTCAAAACTTTTACATGTGCTTAGCCTTTCTGGTAACTGGCTTCCTCTGCTTCCCTTGGCAATTAGACCTGCTGCTGGGGTCCTCCATCCTCTCCACTAAAACTTTCTTTAACTTGCACCTTTTTATGTGGTAGGATCCAGATAGCAGAGGTGCAATGGTTGCAGAGGTTGTTTGCCACCTTTTTTCAGTGCCCAGGCACATTTTGAAATCTTGTATAGAGCTAAAAATCAAAATTTGTAGCTAATGCATTCAGCAATTGTTGCTTTCCTTTGTGTAAACTTCCAAATTTTGCACCTTACCTCACTTTCTCCCCCCACTCCTCTGTTTTAATTAGCTTGTATAACTACTGGATTTGACGGGCAGGGTCTGAGCACAGAATTGTAATGCCCATGCTCCAGACCTAGCTTTTAGATGCCTTTTGACTAGAAGTGCTCAAGGCTTCACACAGTTGCTTAAGGTTTTCACACAGTTTAAGGTTTCACAATTGTGTAGTGGATAGAAATCTCTCTCTGAAGTACTTGTATAGGTCAGCTATGAAGTAACTCGGTTATAATACCTGAATACAGAAGTGAATTCTCCTAACACTTTCCATCTTCTTGTAGATGGCGGATTGCGGTGGCTTTCCTCAGGTTTCCCAGGTATGATTTTATTGAAGGCAAACTTAACTGGTGCTATTTTTTGTGGAATATCGGAATATGAAGGATACTCACTATTCCTAAACATTAGCCAAGTGGCTGGTTTGATTCATGAATAGTGATGTCACTCAGTCATCCAATCTCTTCCTTTTAAAGACCAACCAAGCACAAAATTAGGATTAGAAAGGGATATTATTTTCACTAATTAAGTCTTAAATGTGTAAGGATTGGAAGGTGGCAGTGTAGAAGCATCATCTGCTAAACTAACAGGGATTACTACTCCTGTGCCAGCATTTTAAAACCATTTAGTTCTCTGTGCTATTTATACTTCTGATCAGAAAGGTGGGAGCAGGGAATAACTAGCCTGGTATTTTTTACATGCGTTTATCTAGCCTAACAGAATGAGCTGGAATTTTTGAAGCATGTTATGGTATAAATCCTGAGGCATGTAAAGGTGTAAATTCTCTAGCAGTGCTTCATTGAGGCTGACCCATAAATTCACTTTTAGGATATACCTTTTAACTGTTTGTTATGAGCCAAGTGGGTGGGAAGAGCAGGGTCCTAAGTCTTCTATTTTAGTCTGAAGAAACTGAGCTTCGGCAATTGAGGAGTGTTATTTTAGCACAACTCTGAGTAGATAAAGTGTGTGTGTAATGAGAAAAGCCTGTTAATAGTGTGAAGAGATTGTGCCCAAAAAGTTTAGTTTGCAGAGTAGGGGTGGAGGAAGACTTTGCCCTACATTATGGGGAGGTGTCCTTGGCATGAGTTCAATAATACACTGTTACTTATTTGTTGGTTGAGTTACTGCTTTGCCCAAGAGCATATGAAACTGTTCTCTTGCAGTCGTAGCACCTCTAGCTTTTTATCACTGTTTTCAGTGCATCTATTGAATTATGCTTAAACATGGCCAGTTACTTACCTGTTCCTTTTTGGGGTGGCAAATGAACTGTGCAAAAAATGGAGGCAAAACTACAACTAGTCCAAGTGGTCTCACAAATTTCTGATCCCTATATTGTTCTTCACTTCTTGTGAGACCAACTCTAACTTGGGCCTTCTATTAGTGACTGTTCTAGTAAATTTTGGGCCTGACTCAGTCCACTTGACCTTAGTTAAAGAACTGACTGCAGTAATAAGTGGTGTGCATTAATCTTAATGTAAAATAAGTATTATTGGGAGAGTTACTCAAGTAAAATAGACATACTTCAGATGTCTCAAGTAAAACCCAAGGTCTATACCAGAGGTTGTCAACTGGGGGTACATGTACCCCTGGGGGTACTTTGGAAGGCCCCAGGGGGTACATGGCAGCACCACAAGTCACCGGCACTTCTGGTTTTTCTTGTTGACTGACTGTTGGGGACCCCCCCGCCACTGCGTATCAACTAGCTGCCAGGGGATTCCCTGTTTCTCAACTGGCCACCGGGGGTACACTGATCAAAAAAGGTTAAAAACCCCCTGGTCTATACAAAGCATACTGTAGTGTGGCTAATTCAATAACTACTACATTTAACATTTTTTTTAATTTCCTATTACAGCCTGCAAAGCTTGCAGAAGCTTTCAAATATTTTGTCCAAGGAATGGGCTATAGTAAGTATATTTCCTTATTGAAATAGAAAGATTAGCTGCACCTAAAAAGCAGAATGAGCTAACAAAGGAATCTATTGTGAATTTTTAAATTTCTAGAGTCACCTTGTGGCTTAAAACATCTACTCTCTCCTCTTACCACTAGACTGTATTTTAGATGAGGATGTATAGTGCTTGAAGGAAGGGCTTGCAGACCTGGATCAAGTTAGAATAGCAGAGTAGTGTGGGGAGCTTTGAAAACAGTTTTTCTGCTGCTGATAGCGCTCACATGTATTGGCATATGATGATATCTGGTATAATGTGGTTTTCTTATAATTTTTTTTACTGTGTCTCTGTGTGGTGGTTATAGTTAATGATGTGTTTTGTCAAGATAATCTAAGACACAAACTACATGCTATCCTGCTGTTTATTGAAATTAGCTGGCCTCACTTTTTTTACAGAAGAGTGACTAGGGTTTTCCAGAGACATGTTTGTGAAGTGCTCTAAAACCTATCCAATTCCAACCAAAGACATGTAGTAATTCTCTTGTGCAATTACACTTAATACAGGCCTAGTTCATCCTCTGTAAAAGTCCATGCCTGGAACTTGCTATAGCATTGCTGGAGAATTCTTGCCTGAACTATGGGATCCCCTTCGTGTCCTCAGCTTTCTTACCTCATGGGCTGGAGAAGTGATTCTCACATTACTCAAACCTGCACTTTCAAAGCTTGACCTTCAAGCTGAGCATGCAGATATGGGTCACTTTACCTGCCTGCTGGAACATGCAGGACACTTGCAGGCATCTGGTTTGTCTGTACAAGTGCCAAGCAGGTGTGTTGCTACCCATCTCTGTGTACCCAGTTATAAATATGCATGCAAAATTGTACATACCTTTGTATTATGTGCATATTTCATTCCCTACAGCATGGCTATTTAAATTGAATATTAAAAGTGGAGGAGGAAACTGAACCTTCTGTGAATGCTGGAATTGGTAGTAAAGCTAGTGCACATTATTTACAAGATGCAGTGTTTATTATCTGTGGTATCTGAATCTGGTTAGACTTCGTGTTTCAGGGCTTACTATAATTTCATAGATTTCACAGACATTAGGGCTGGAAGGGACCTCAGAAGATCATCGAGTCTAGCCCCCCCGAAGGGCAGGAAGTCAGCTGGGGTCATAGGATCCCAGCAAGATAAGCATCCAACTTTGCTCTTGAAGGTGTTCAATGTAGGTGCTTGAACCACCTCTGATGGCAGGCTGTTCCAGACCTTGTAAAGAAATTCTTCCTTATGTCCAGCCTGAAACAGTCTTGTAGTAGTTTATGACTGTTCAGGCTTGTCATCCCCTGGGGCGCTCTGGTGAACCAGATACTGGTGGTCACCATCAGATCACCCCTGAGTCTGCGCTTTTCCAGGCTAAAGAGCCCAATGGCTCTCAGTCTGTCGTCGTAAGGTCCGTTTTCCTGACCTCTGATCGTGTGCATGGCTCTCCTCTGGAAATTTGTGAAAAGCAAACTTGTGGCATGCAAATCAGAACTGCTGAAATAACAATTAAGCTAATAGCCCAGTCTGCTTTAACCAGTTGCGGTTACTGTGTTTGGGGTTGGGGCAGTGTGGGGAGGGCGGGGGTGGCATTCTCAAGTATGGTCTGTCCCATTTGTTCAGCGTGTATTCCTTTTTTCTGTGTACCTTGTAGTTGCACAGCAGTGCAGGTTGCTGGAAGAACCAACCCTGCAAACTATCACACCTGCTGAATGTTGCACCCTTTGCATAAAGCAGATGTGCTTTGGGTGGTCAGGGTCAAGCTTCATGTTGTTATGAGTGCCGAATTAAAAGCCTAGACTTGCTTTCAAGCACCTTGAATTGCTTCACAGGAAGTCATTAACATAGAACTCTGCTTTCAGTGCCTTCAGCCAGCATGACCAGACTGATGAGATCCCGTACAGCATCTGGCTCCAGCGTGACCTCTTTGGAAGGGCAGAGGAGCAGATCCCATACTGGGGAGGGAACAAGAAGCAGATCTCACACTGGCGAGGGCACCAGGAACCGTTCTCACACAGACACGCGCATTGAGCTCACTCCTAACTCTGCAAACAATGCTGAACAATCCAGCCCCAAGTCCATGGAAGTCTCCTGTTAAATACAGTTTTTAAAAGAAAAAATATCTGGTTGTAGTCGGAAAAGTTAAACTTCAATGGCTGCCCACTGTGCATTGCAAAACGTAACTGGCATTAATCTCAGGCTGTTCTGTGAGATGAACTGTTTTAGAGTTTGATGGGGACCAAAGAAAGTAAGCATCTCAATTGCTAGATCTTTATTTTAATTGATGGTTGCTGCTATTGTGCCCTCCTCCAACTGATGCCAAATTCTAAAGGATATTTGCCAAAAATTCACATGGCTGTAAACATGGTAAATTCCCATTTCACCAAATCTCCTTTCCAAACAAATATTGGAAGCAGATGTGCTCCTGCTTTCTATGTCTCATTTACTCTGAATAAACTGACCCAGTTTGTGGCACAGGTTTGTTTTTGTTTTTTAATATCAATGAGAAAATCAATGCATTATGGGTGGCTTAGTTACAGCCTCATGTTGAAGCTGGAGTTAACACATTGTACATAGTTTAATTTCCAATCACTGAATAACTCAACTGCATTGTGCATTTTATAGGCCTTCTAATTCATTAGTACTCCAAGCCCATCTTTTTCCTAAGTACAACTATATGCTACAACAATAGGCAACTTAATGTGACTTCAAGGGAAGCTAAATCTTTCTAAGTTTTTTGTATTTCACTTTTTACTTTGAGATTTAGTTCCACTCTTTTTCCCCCTTTTAGTACCTAAAAACCTGCTTAACAAGGTTTAATTTTTGTAAGTGAAGTAGCACTTCCTTTTTGGTGGGATCTTGGATGATGTGGCAGAGGGTTGGCTTGCTTATAGTACCTGGAGCAACTGCACATGGGCAATGAATAGTTGTTGGAAGCAGCTTGATTACCACTTCATGTGAGGTTTTTTTCGTTTGTTTTTAATCTTTGCAGCTTGAGGGGGTTTTTGTCTAGCAGAAGTGTAATAATTCTGTGAACAAAGCCAGTTCCAGCTGTTCTAGATCCAGAACGATGAACAACTGTGGGATGGCTTGTAATTACTGTACATTCCACAGCCACTAATTACTAGAGGGTTTTTTTTAATTTCTGATTAGAACTTACTGGTGCTCAAAAGTACAGTCCACAACGTGGTGGAAGGGGCAACACTGTAACTGAGAAATCTAGTGGTTAATAACTGTAAATCTAGTGATGTGCTGATTTCTGTATCTCTTAACGTAACCTACTGATAGCTCTCAGGTTATGTTCTTTTGAAAGTTGGTGGGTTTGGTACCTATCAACTGCCCACTGTTTTTTTTTCCTAGGTGTTGGATGTTCTTCAGTCTATCTTTTTTCCTTCCATTCGTGTATTTGAACAGGTTTTCACTTGCTTTGGTATGCATTTGCTACATCACAATTATTACATAGACATGAAAATTCAGATACTGAGCAATTAAATAGCAAGTGGTAATACTTTTAATACACTCAAGTATTTTGGGTTGCTCTCCATGTTCAGAAGAATGCAGTTTAGGTTACTTCACATCTAACTAACACTTGTGCAGAATTTCCATAATGGCTTGTTAGGAGGAACAGGCAAATTTTTAAAGAGAGAATAAAGCTACTGTGTAAAGTCTATCCAGAAAAGTTTCTTAATGAAGTATTTGTATTTATTTAAAAAAAAAAATAAATTTGTAACTTTGCAATGTCTTGTGTCTTCATCCTGCATCTCAAGCACAGCTGTCTTCCAAGACGAGTGAACTCTTCTGTGCTCTTTCTCCATGCTGCTTCTCTGGCTATGTTGTACAGTGCTTGCTCTCTGAGCAATCCCTCAGTTCAGTGTATATATAGTCTAGGCAGGTGATGTATTGCAGTCAATTTTTTTATAAAGCTTCTGGTAAAACACTGTTATAACCACAGCCAGGCATGTTTCCACTTCTGTACTGCAGGGAGGCAGGAGGGTGTTGGGGATCCCTTGTCTCTTCTGCTCCCTCAAGATCTTCTCTCCCTTGGGTAAGGGTAGAAGAACACGTGCTCCTGCTCACAACCCAAAGGGTTCTTCAGCCCCTCTCAGCACCTAGGGGCACATCTACATGAGATGCTACAAATTGTGACACTGCTGCTGTGCAGTATAGTGAGAAACAACCCATGCGGCACCAAAAGTGTGCAGTCTGATAGACTTGCCCTAGGAGCAGTAATGATGTGAGGCAACATTTTAAGTCATCCTCACTTTTTTTTTTCCTGCTCTCCTAAATGAATGCCTTTCCCTCTCTCCTTTTCTATCTAATCCATAAGAATTGCCATTTACTGGGTTAGACTGTAGGCCTGTCAAGCCTAGTCGCTGGGAGAGAGCAGAGGCTAAGGGGGAGAGTGAACAGGGTATGTAGAGACTCTTCCACTTGCTGCTCCTCTCCCACTTTTAGCTTCCAGTATTCAGTACCCTTTAATGGTGGCGCTTGCATGAGCTTGATTCTTCACCCTATGTGGCATACTACCCCTTTCCTGGCTGTGCAGAAGTCCTGTTATCCAAATGCGTGGGAGCCATGGGACCTCTCCACCGGCTGTATTGTACGTATTGGCATTTCTAGCTGCCTATGATGGAAGCATTCAACATCAGTGCTACTGGGAAAGTTAACATGATTTTGGAGAGTAATCACCACTCTAAAAAATGGGTGAACTGAGATGGAGGTTAAACTGCTTGGCCAGCAAGTTCCCTGAATAAGGTTGAGTAGGATGCAGTCCCTTGTCTGTGCCCTCACATCCAGGACACCGGCATCCTCCCACCTTTGCCTGCAAAAAGCACTGTGTATTTGGCAGAGCTCAACGGCAGCATCGTCCAGGCTCCTTTTAAGCCTTTCATGTTGCATCAAAAATCATAAAACCTGGGGAGGGGTTGTATGTTTTGTGTTGTTTTTTTTAATCTTACCAATGCATACACAACTCTAATTCAAGCTAATGGGAATTGCATCTATTTTCCTAGGATGCTGACCTTCAGCATGTATTTAACGCCTTATGCTAGCTAGGCTACTACAGAAAATACTTGGACTGGAGTTGTGCACTGCCCCACACCACCCTGGACTGCCATGCCCTGTACTCTGAGTACAGCAAAATGCAGCCTGTTCAGCAACGGGGTTCAAAGTCGGTACATTTAGGGGAGGGCTGGGGGAGCTAGGAAAGTATCACTCGGGTTCACTGCACAAAAACTGCTAGGAGAACTGAGGCAGATTAATAGAAGTGCACAGATGCCTGATTTGGATAAAGGGAGCTTAGCAAGTACAAGTGGTATAAATTGAACTGTCCTTACAAGGGAAGCAATTGAAGGGATCAGAATTTCCAAGAAGAGGTGGATTTGCAGCTTTTCTCTGACTCTAATTTGGACCTGCCTGGTTGCCTTCTATGATGACATGACAGTCTCTGTGGATGTGGTTTACCTTGATTTTTAGCAAGGGTTTTTTTGGTTGTAGCCATGTTGGTCTAAGGGCACGGACAGATAACGTTCTTTGGGTAGATGTGATATTTTTTTATTAGACCAACTGAGTAGTTGGAATAAAGTTCTCAGCAAGTTTTTGGGCAAAGTCACCCTTCGTGAGGCATAGGGAGTCTCTGCTGAGACTGATGAGACTTCCTATGCCTGACAAAGGGTGACTGAGCCTGAAACCTTGCTAAGAACTTTTTTCCAACTACTCAGATGTGATTTATTAGACCATCTGAAGAAACTTGCTTGATTTTTAAGCAAGGCTTTTGATATGGTCTCCCACAATGCTCTCACAGGCAAGCTAAGGAAGTACAGGCTTAATGGACTGTAAGGTGGATAGAAAACTGGCTGGAGCATTGGGCTCAAAGGATAGTAATCGATGGCTCAATGTCCAGTTGGCAGCCGCTATCAAGTGGAGTGCCCCAGAACCAGTCCCAGGACTGACCCTTGTTCAATATCTGTGTCAATGACCTGGAAGGTGGCATAGTTTGCAGCAAGTCTGCAGATGACACCAAGCTTGGGGGAGTAGTAGATATGCTGAGGGGTAGGTCATCTAGGTCACTGAATCCAAGAATTGGAGGACTGGGCTGAAAGGAATCTCGTAAGGTTCAACAAGGCCAAGTGCCATGCACCAGGCCAGGCTGGGGGTGACTGGCTGGGCAGTAACTCTGCAGAAAAGGACCTGGGGTTACAGTGGCCAATAAGCTGAATATGAGCCAACAGTGTGCCCTTGTCAACAAGGCTAATGGCATCCTGAGCTGCATTGGTAGGTGTTAGCAGTAGGTCAAAGGAAGTGATAATTCCCCTCTATTCAGCACTGGTGAGGCCACATCTGGAGTCCTGAATTCAGTTTTGCCCCCCCCCCCCCTACAGAAACTGTGGAAAAATTGGAGGGAGTCCAGTGGAGGGCAAAAAAAGTGGTTTGGGACTGGGGGCCATGACTTGCAAGGAAAGGCTAAGGGGACTGGACTTATTTAGTCTGCAGAAGAAAAGACTTGGTGCAGGATTTAACAGCAGCCTTCAACTACCTGAAGGGAGTTCAGAAGAAGATGGAGCTGGACTGTTCTCGGTGGTGTCAGGTGCACAACAAGGAGCAATGGGCTCAAGTTGCAGCAAGGCAAATTTAGCTTAGATATTAGGAAGAATTTCCACACTAGGATGGGTGTAAAACACTGGAACAGGTTACCCAGAGAGGTGGTGGACTCCCCATCCTTGTAGGTTTTTTAAGACCTGGGTAGACAAAGCCTGGGCTACGATAATCTAGTTGGGGGTGAACCTGCTTTGAGCAGGGGGCTGGACAAGATGTGACCTCCTAAGGCCCCTTTCATCCTTAACTTCCTATGACAATATGTCCTCCGTCTGCCCCCAACACTCCTCCTTCAGCTGTCTCCCCTAAATTCAGAACCATTGCACTGGGCAGGGGAAACCCTCCTGGCATGTCAGAGCAAGGGTTTTGACAAACCCCGATTTGTGCAGCTATGTAACCAGGGTTCCCTGAAACAGCAGCTGAAATCCTTAAGAGGAGCTTGACTGAAATTCCCTCTCAGCTCTGGTGGCTGGGGGCACGGGCACCAAAAGAAAAGTGCAGCAGATTATTGTTTTCTTAACTGCCGCAGGCTGTGGTCAGCCTGTTAAGCAGTTCATTTTTCTTGCTGAAGAAGAACAGGAAGCCATCCAATCCCTCTTGCCATACAAAGGGACCTGCTGGCACTTCCTGTGTAGCTTGTGGTTGCCAGGACGAGTGCGTGGAAGGTTTTGGCGAGGAATGAGGTGTCCCACATAACCAGCCGGCTGCCTGCGGTACTAGGGAACAGCATCTTCATAGGCTGCAATTAAACATGAAGGTGCTGCTCAGGCTAGGGCTAAACTTTTCCAACTCCTCAATCAATCCCTACGAATCCTCCTCTCTTTACAGCTTGTATCACATTCGCTTGCTCTGCCTCCTAGTCTCTGCTGCTCACTTGGACCCACGGTTCACCTGGTGAGTCTAGGCTGCGCGGGTCATGGGTCTAGGCGAGACCTGGTGAGTCTAGGCTGCAAGGGTCATGGGTCTAGGCGAGACCTGGTGAGTCTAGGCTGCAAGGGTCATGGCATGGCTGTGCTGGATCCTGTTCTCTGAGATACCTATTGCTAGTCTCTGTGTTAAAAGCTTCAGCACCTCCTAGAGCGGCGGTCACCAACCTGGGGATCCCAATCTACAGGTAGATCCCAGAGCCTCTCTTGGTAGATCCTGGGCCTGGGGGACAAATGGGCATGCATGCATGCACACACCCACCACCCCTGCCACTATCCAAACCTGCAGATGAAGGTCAACCACCATCCCCTACCCCAGGCTATGGGCATCTGCTGTACGAAGGGGTTAGTAGATGTCTGCACAGCTTTCCCCTCTCCCCTGGCTCAGAGCTGCTCTGAGCACAGCAGAAGAGGGGGCGTACTGCTGCCATTGCCCTTCCTATGAACGCAGGAGACTGCACCGCTGCTGAATCCACCCAGCCCGAGGCATGTGGGCACTTGCGGCACAACCAGAGCACTCATCTAGATGTGGCTCTTGTGGTCCCCAGCTGCGCTGAGCGGGAGAGCACAGTTGTGGGGAAAGCTGCTTGCTTTGCTCCCCATAATTGTAATCCTCTTTGTGTTGGGGTACTGTTTTGCAGCCAGAGAGCATCTGCCACAGCATTAGACAGACTTTCAGGAGGCTTTGTTGTTGTTGGCTGCACCGTGCACCATGCATGTGGATAGGCTGTGACCTGGGCTTGTGTTGCCACACTCTGCTTTACACTGTGAAACATCACTGCCATTCTCTCTACAGAAGAGGGGCCCTTCTCCAGAAGAGCTGTCGCTGCCGCGGTAGGCACAATTTTAATGTGCGAGTTGAGCTTTTCCACCAAACCAAGCAGAGGCTCTAAACTAAACTCTCAGGCATCATCTTTAACTCCAAGAAAGAGGGTAAAGATGTATTTGAGAGTGCAGATCCTCTCATTCAGCCATAGTCCCACAGCATTTCTGGTTATCCTATTATTTAAGGAGTACAGCTGACAACCTGTGTTTAATGCTAATTATTCACAAATCGATACAGAAACCAACATGGAAAATTGGGGTTGGAAGGGATCTCAGGAGATCATCTAAGTTCAATCCCCTGGTTAAAGCAGATCCAGCCCCATCTAGATCATCCCAGCCAGGGCTTTGTCTACCTGGGTCTTAAAAACCTCCAAGGATGGAGATTGCACCACC